ACTTACAAACTTTTGTGCTTAGGTTTCAGTTATACAATGATCAAGTACCCATCCCTTCACCAGTGCCCATTCTCCACCACCATTGATCCCAGTATCCCTCTGTAGTCTACTTTCAGCATGCATCCCCCATCCTGGGAACATATGTTGTATCTGGGATTGAACTAGAGTCAGTTTCGTACACGGCAAGTGTCTTAACCCCCATCTGTCTTTTTGGCCCTGATTTGTGTTTTTTTTTAGATTCTTTTATGTATGGAGATTTTCAAAAGTAAAAGACAAGTTTAAATTATACTAGTACATAGTATCCACTCCAAATTATCAGTTGAACTCAATTTCCTACAAATTAATAACTAATATCTACAGTGTCTTCTTTAGAGGTGAATATAATTTTTATTGTATTAAAAATGCAGGAAGTCTTATGATGCAACAGCATCGTATACCTACTAAAAACATTAGCATTGTTATAAACCATGTTATCGTAATAATTTTTTGAAACCTTATTAATTTTGTATTCTAAGAAAATTGAAAAGATAAAATTAGATTTTACTTCTCCAATTATGTGTATTCTTGTTTCTTATTTTTCTACTTTTTGCTGGGGGTGAGCTGGGATTTGGGGCCACATTTTCTACAAACACGTGTATCTGACTCAGATATTCTTATTTCTTGTCTTTTTAACAATTTTAACATTGTTAACATTCCTTAAAAAAACCAAAGGGAACCTAGAGTAATAGCCCAGGGGTTTAGGGCTGCATTTCTCAACCAGTGGTACTGTGGGCCCCTAGGATATTCCAGAGGGGCCACTTGTAAAAATGTATAAATGGGAGGACATGACACAGGTCTTGGGGGCCAACTAGAAGCTCAGGTGGGCCATTCAGAAAAAAGGTTGAGAAACACTGGCCTTGAGCATTTGCCTTGCAAATGTATGATGACACATTCAAATTTGTGTCCAGTATGGGCTGAATGTGATCCTGTTGTTGAACTTAGTAACTCCTCTGTTTGATTACCAGTGCTTCAAGGATTTTCCATCCATACCACAGTCTTCTGTGTGTAAGCACAACAAAGGGGGTGTGGCCCTTGGAAACCTCTGCATGTATGAGCACCATAGTAGGAAATATGAACTCCAGCCACAATGTGTGAGCACCACACAACCCCACAATCATAGCTTTGCGCTTCAACTAAGAAAATGAGCTTTTGCAAGCACAAGTGCAAACAAAGCACTGAAGGAGTACAAACCTTGATGCGCACCCTGGTTGAATATGCTACTACCACAACCTGCTGTGTGATACCCAGCCGGTATCGTAGCTTATTAAAGTATGTGAGCACCACATACCTGGTACTCCACTTATAACGCCAGATATATGTGTAGCCTTCAGTCTTTGCTTTAGTAGTATCAACAATAATGATGAGAAGAGGGAAATGTGGAGGGAATAATGTAAGAAAAAATATGAATATCAAGATTTAAAATGGTGTTTATTGAACCTAATGGGGAAAAAGAATGACGTTATTTAAAATGTGCTCTCCATATATATATACACACACATATATATGCTTATAAATGAGCATATTTAATATGCTCTCCTTATAAACTATTAGATTGACAGGTATGCTGTTTTTCTATAGTATTTGAAATACATTTTAATTTTTTTAGGTACTGAACACAGGGTTAAAAATTTTAATACTGGCCGTGGACGTGGTTTGCCGAAGAAAATCAAACGCAAAGACCGAGGGGGAAGAACCAGTAAAGGGCCTAATGCTTTTTCAGGAATGGATGACTTTCAAGAGGTACTAAGGATTTATATATAACGAGGAGAGGAACTTTTCCATCTTTCAACCTGGTTGTTTACAAAGAAAACATTGTTGATTTAATGCCACTTTTCTAATAAATGAAAAATTTCCAGCTCAGATAAAATGAGTACAAATGCCAAAAGAATTGTTGTTTTAATTTGTAATGATACTAATAGAGAGATGCAATAGCCTCAAAATAAGTAACCTCAAAGTAATATTGGTATGTTTGGAAAACACCTCAAGATTAAATTGTCTGAGGCCTGAGTGGTAGCTCATCAGACTGGGTAGAGCATATGCTTCATGTGCAGTAGGCCCAGGTTTGATCCCTAGGAGATCCGAGGTTCTACTGACGTGTGACCCCTGGAGCATGGAGCCAGGAGAAACTGGGTTTAAGTCCCAAAACAAAGTGAAATACGGGATTAGAGTGTTAGTAGAGTGGGTAGGGCATTTTTCTTGCACGTGGATCAGACCAGGGTTTGATCCCCGGCATCCCATATGGTCCCCCAGGAGTGATTCTTGAGTGCAGAGCGAGAAGTATCCCCTGAGTATGTGTGATCCAAAAAGCCAAAACAACCAAAACAAAATGAAATAACCAGCTAGCTGACTATACAATGTCCAAAAACAAAAATGAGTGCTCATTAGTTCTCTTTTGTGCTTTTCTCTCATAGGGGTCATCTTCTACAGACAGAAATAGCAATAAGATGCTAATAGCCTAATATACATCAGGGCCCTGAGAAGAGATACAGATCAGTTTATGTTTATATAGTTGATTTTAAATATATACGGAAATGAATCAAACTCTGGACATTCACTTTTTTTTTTTTGCTATTTGGGTCACACCTGGCAATGCACAGGGGTTAATCCTGGCTCATGCACTCAGGAATTACTCCTGGCAGTGCTCAGGGCACCCTATGGGATGCTAGGAATCGAACCCGGGTCATCCACGTGCAAGGCAAACGCCCTACCTGCTGTGCTACCATTCTAGCCCCTGGTTGTTCACATTTTAACTTTATAGTGATTAGAGTGGTTCAGTTCCTAATTTTGCCCATGTTCCAGTAAAATTTTATTGAACTCTACAGAGTAAAGGGTATGTTATTAAAAGCTGAATTGTTAAGTGAGAACAAATGGATAATACATTATAATTTAAAATGTGTTGTTTCCTATCCCTGGATGTTAAGATAGCTTTCTTGGTCATGTTCTTCTAAGTATACTATTTAGAGAAATGTTAATAGATATGATCTAAAAATAGAGAGGTCAGATACAAATTTATAAAATCTAGCACATGCTCCTCTACTCTTGGAGATTCTCAATCAGTATCAATGCGTTAAAGATTCTGAGCAAGTTAAGCATAAAAAAGCCTGTTTTGCTTTGTACAACCCATTATTTTCTTTCTTTATTGAATCACTGTGAGATATAGTTACAAGCTTTCATGTTTGAGTTACAATCACACAATGATCAAACACCGATCCCTCCACCAGTGCACATTCCCCAGCACCAATATCCCTGGTATACACCCCCTTTCCCACCCTCCCCTGCCTCCATGGCAGATAATATTCCCCATAATCTCTCTTTACTTTTGGGCATTATCAACCCATTATTTTCAAAGTGAATTTGATTATGTGAACTCTTTATTTCATATATGCCTATTAACAGTTACTAATCATTTTCTGTTTCATGGAATGACAGCTTTGGTAATTCTTAATTTCTGGGTGATTATATCCTGTCTGTCTGCCCTGACAGTTATCAGTTGATCTCTAAAATATACTACTCTCCAATACAAATTAATCCTTCAATATTCAGTGCTTACAATCTATACCTAAAATAAAACAAAGGGGACAGAGAGATGGTACAGCTAGTAAGGTGCTTGTCTTGCATGTGGCCGACCTGAGTTCAATCTCCAGCAGCACATATGGTCCCCCCAAGTCCTGCCAGCAGTGATCCCTGAGCACCACCAGTGTGTCTCCCCCCACCAAAGAAGCCCCCCAAAAACCATAAGAACTTTTAGCAAAATATGGCTCTGAGGGGCTGGAGAGATAGCACAGCGAGTAGGGCATTTGCCTTGCATGCGGCCAACCCGGGTACAATTCCCAGCATCTGATATGGTCCCCTCAGCCCCGCCAGGAGTACCTCCTGAGTGCAAAGCCAGGAGTAACACCTGTGCATTACCAGGTGTGACCCAGAAAGCAAAAAAAAAAAGGCTCTGTTTTAATCAGTTTAATCTGTAAGAGGAAAATGAAATATTAAATGATCTCAGACCCCCATGAATCACTATTACATCTTAGATGTTTATACATTGGTACTATAACTAGAAGATTTTTCATCTCTTCTTGCATCAGATTGAGAATATTTTTTTTAAATTAAAATGTTATTGACTATGGTCCTATATTTTCTACCACGAGAGGTTTCTTCAGTGGTTTCTGAAACAAATAGGAAAGCTCCAGAGTCCAAGGAAGTAGCTCATGGTTAGGAGTGATCTGGGTAGGCCTGTCTCACTGGAATGCACATGCTAGGTTTATTCCAGGCCAACATAGCCTAAAGTAGATCCGTTTCCGTTGCAGCTTTTTCAGATACTATAATAAGATACCCCCAAATGCCAGATAAATTTAGGGATACCACATGACTATATTAGTTTTCTTTAAAACCCAGTGCTATTCACAGAATGAGCAAACATTTTGATGGAATTTCAAAACATTCTGTTAGCTGAAAACTCAGCTTTTTATTCTTTATAATTGCTGTTAAATTTCCTAAAAATTCTTTACCATGTAGATCCTATTTTTTTTCTTGTATGCTTAAAAAATATTTTGGGGGGCTTTTTGACACATCCCGATGTTGCTCAGGGGTTACTCCTTGGCTCTGGGCTCAGGGATCACTCCTAGTAGGGTTCAGGGGACCATATGGATGCTTGAAATTAAATCTGGGTCAACCATGTGCAAGGCAAACACCAAATTCTCTGTACACTCTCTCCAGCCACTATTAAAAATTATTTTTATATGCTCTTGTTCCTTATACCAGCATAATACATCTTCAAGATTAAATATGTTTGGGGAGGGGGACTACAGCTGGCAATGCTCAGGGGTTATTTTTGGCTCTGTAATCAGGTCAGTTCTGGAAGTGGTCAGGGAATCATTGGGTGCCAGGGATTGAACCCAGGATGGCCATGTACAAGGAAGGTGCTTTACCCATTGTACTACCTCTCCAGCCTCCTGTTAATTTTTTGTTTAAATATGGAACACTTCATGAATTTACATTTCATTGTTGAACAGGGTCCATGCTTAATCTAATCTGTGTCATTCCAGTTTTAGAATATATGTTTCAGAATTGAGCACAATAAATACATTCTTTTTTATGTAGGAATACTGCTATTTTCAGCCGCTGATTAGCTGATTGAATTGGGCATAAACTCCACTTTTTTTCCATTTTCTGTAATTTTATTTATTGAATCACAGTTACAAAGCTTTGGGGTTTAAGTCTCGGTCATACAATGAAACACCCGTATCTTCACCAGTGCCCATTCTCAACCACCAAAAACCCCAGTATACCCCCATCCCACACCCTCCTCCTACCTGTGGAGCAGATGATTTCCACATTACTCTCTCTCTCTACTTTGATTACATTCAGTAGTTTGACTCCAGACCCACCATTATTATTTGGGCCCCGCAAGCTATCGAGAGGATCTCGCCCGCACGGCAAAGCCTGGGAAGCTACCCGTGACGTATTCAGTATGCCAAACACAGTAAAAACAACAAGTCTTACAATGGAGACGTTACTGGGCCTGCTCGAGCAAATCGATGAACAATGGGAGGACAGTGACAGTGACCCCCAACACTCAGTTCTGCTGAAAAGGCAACAGTAGACAATTTGTTTTCTGTTGCTGGTTATGATGTTGCGTGGCAGCAGTAGTGGCCGCGCGATTTTGAAATTCCAAAATTTTAACACTTAAATCTGAAGGAATTTCTGCCAAAACCTGCTGGGTTCTGAGATTTGTTCCTGAGTCTCTGGGATCATGGCCGTTAAGCAGCTTGATCAGGAGCCAGAAAGGCCATTAGTGGGTGGCAACTCGGGGTCTCGTTGAGGCGGGGAGGAAAGGGCCGGCTCCACCCTCATCCCGTGAGGCCCCTGCATGTCTCGTCTCTTGAGGGCCCAAACCTTAACTGTCCTATGACCTCTGGAGGATGGCAGCCCCTGAGCCGCCTAGGGGGAGCAGGCGGAGGGACAGTACCCTTCCCCCCCTGGGGTGGCCTGACCACAGTAACCTACCGCATGGTCTGGATGCATTTCTGGCAGAAGCCACTGGGTTCTGAGATTTGTTTCTGAGTCTCTGAGATCATGGCCATTAAGCATCTTGATCAGGACCCAGAGAGGCTGTTCGTGGGCGACGCCTTGGGGTCTCGTTGGGATGGGGAGAAAAGGGCCGGCTCCACCCGCATCCTGTGAGGCCCCGCATGTCTTGTCACTATGGGCCCAAATCTGATTATCCAGTGGTCTCTGGAGGATGGCGGCCACCCGGCCGCCAGAGGGAATAGGCCAAGGCACAAAGCCTATTCCCACTTGGGTTGGGCCAGCACTGGTAACCTACTGCAGGGACCGGGTACCTGTCAAAAGCCGCTGGGTTTCAAGATTTGTTTCTGAGTCGCTGGGATCATGCCCATTAAACGCCTTGATCAGGAGCCATAGAGGCTGTTTGTTGGCGGTGTCTCTGGGTCTCATTGGGATGGGGCAGAAAGGGCCGGCTCCACCCCCATCCTGTGAGGCCCTGCATGTCTCGTCAATGCAGGCCCAAACCTGACTGTGCAATGGCCTCTGCTGGATGGCAGCCACCAAGCTGCCAAGGGGGCGCAGGCGAAGGGACAGCACACTTTTCCCCCCTGGGGTGGCCTGGCAACAGTAACCTACTGTGGGGTCCAGACGGATTTCTGTCAAAAGCTGCTGGGTTCCGAGATTTGTTTCTGAGTCTCTGGATCTTGCCCGTTAAGCAGCTTGATATGGAGCCAGAGAGGCAGTTTGTGGGCGGCGACTTGGGGTCTCGTTGGGGTGGAGAGGAAAGGGCTGACTCCAGCCCCATCCCGTGAGGCCCCGAATGTCTCGTCACTGCGGGCCCAAACCTGATTGTCCAGTGGCCTCTGGAGGATGGTGGTCATCAGGCCGCCATGGGGAACAGGCCAAGGCACAAAACCTATTCCCACCTGGGGTGGCCCAGCGCCGGTAACCTACTGCAGGAAATAAATACATTTAAAAAAAATGGTCAAGGTAGATTGTTTTTCTCTCCCTCCATCTTTCCCTTATTTACCTCTTTCTTAAAATTTCTTAAAAAGATAGTATAATATAATGTGACGAGCTCTGTCTGTACTCTGCCATCATGTGACTTTTGGCAAGTTACTTTCTAACCTTTGTTTCCATATTTTTCCAAAGGAAGTTTTGAACTAGATTATTTCCGTGTTTTTTTTTTTTTCAGTTCTTGTAAGAGATCTTAGAAATTTGATCTTGTATTTTTCTAGGGTGTAGTTTGGGTATATTCATTGTTTTAAAAAGAGCCTCAAGAATGATTTATTCTTTTGGAATACCTCTGCTTTTTTGGGTTTGTTTTTGTTCCACAACCAGCATTGCTCAGTTGTTGTTTCTAGCTCAGAGCTTGGAGGTCGCATACGGCAGTGCTCAAGAGACCATATGTGATGCCAGAAATCAAACCTGGGCCTCCACCATGCAAAGCATGACTTCTAACCCATTGATATATTTCTCTGGACTCCCCACTTCCCCTCCCTCACAATACACAAATTTTTGCAGTAATAATGTGTATTGTAACTTTGAGCACTGAGGACCAGATTTAAATCTAGCTACCTCTTACCTCAAGTGTTTGCTGGGAGACAGTGTCATGTTTTCAATATATCCTACATTAGCAAAATGAGGGCAAAGGTGAAACTAAACTCAAGTGAATTTAGCAAAAACTGTATTTTTTACTCCTGAGATACGCAGGTTGCATACAGACCAGGTGCTTGAAAAAACATGCTGTTGCCACAGTCTCACATTAGGAGATTGTGAATGTACATAGCAGGGTTAAGCATCATTCTATCTTGTTACTAATAATACTCTCGTTGGCACAAATGGAATAGGGTATTGAGTAGAACTAAAGAAAACAACTGTGATATTTTTCTTCCTCCACTGCTCTGGCCCAGTAGTGGTGGAGGTCTTTTTCTTTTAAAATTTATTATTATCTTTTGTTTACTTCTAAAGATGTGTTTTATTGTTTTACTATATTGAATGTAGAATAACCAAAAAAACCCAAATATAATAACAATAAAATTGAAAAATATCAAGCACCAGAGAGATAACTTAATGGATATGAATGCATGCTTTGCGTGCAAAAGTCCCGCATTCAGTCTGTCACCACATGGTTCCCAGAGCACTAGTGGGAGTGTCCTCAAGTACCAGGTACAGCCATGAATATATCAATAGTCTAAGAAAACTTTGTCTATTTAAGTGATGAAAAGAGACCAGAAAGATAGATCAAAGGGCTGGAGTGCATCCTTTGCACGAAGGAGATCAGAGTTAGATTCCCAGCACCTCATGGTCCCCCAGCACTACAGGAGTGAGCAGGAGCAAGAGTAGCCCTTGAGCACCAGGACTCAGAAATGGCAAGAAAGGCAGTCTTCTCAATAGTATTGTTGGGTGCCAAGCCTGTGTTTCTCTTTGCCAAACGTTACTGGAAGATTATAGATCCACTGCTACTTCCAAATATGAAGGAAGGATCTGGGAGGGAGGGGAGAAGGGAGGCTTTTTTCATTTAAAAGTAGAAGATAATACTTCCTGCTTCCCCCCACAAAAAAAGAGTACAGTAAATACAAATGCAAATAACCTCTAATTTTTAGAGATTTATCTACAGATACACCCCATTAAGTAGTCTTAGGCTTTTTTGTCTTTATTGTTATGATGTTGAAATAATTTTTTCACCTAGCAAAGTATTATGGGAATTTTTATATACCAAAATTATTTTTTCATTATATTATTTTAATTTATTTACTTTGGGGGGAGTGGCTTGGGCCACACTTGCCGGTGCTCAGGGCTGCTACCAGCTCTCTGTTGAAGGCTTGCTCCTGGCATTTGGCTGCATGCAAGGCAAGCTCCTTAACTAGTATATCTCTCTTGCCCATTGCTCATCGTTTAAATTTTCATTATATTTTTTGTGGAGGGCAATCTTGGTGGTGCTCAGGGGTGGGGTCTAGGATCAAACGCAGAGCTCCTGATACATGTGCTCTGCAGCCATTTGAGCCATCTCCCTGGCTCTTCATGAGTGTTTAATTTCCTCTTCGTGATGTGTAAGTAATTTCTAAGTTTTTGATTTCTTTTACTGTATGAGTCATTCTCAGTTATTATTTTGTGAATAAATCTTTGTGTGCCTTTCTGATAATTCGTTTGGAATAATCCTGATAAGTAAAACTTCTGTGTCAAACAGATTTTTTAAATCTTTAATAGCATCCTTACCACTAGTACATGAAAGTACTTAATGCACCTTTGCCAAAACTTAGTATTATTGTTAATTTGTATACTTACAATAATTTTATTTCTTAATTATAATTAGGCATTCTCATTAAAATAGAAGTAGGGATATTTAGGGAAATTGATATATTAGAAGTGCTTTCCAGGAGGTGAATAGCATCCAATATTGACCATATTTAATGGTGACTTTCTAGATGTATTTGACTGTATAATGTCTAATATTTTATTGTTTCATTTAAACTTTTTTCTTGCAGTATAGTAAACCAGGGAAAAAGTGGAAGGTTATGACTCAGGAATTTATTAATCAGCACACGGTGGAACACAAAGGAAAACAAATCTGTAAATATTTTCTGGAGGGGCGATGTATTAAGGTAAATTTATAGGGGTATCCCAACCATTTTAACTTCTAAAATAGTCTTTGTAATTTAAATTCTATGGGGTGGTTAGTTTCTTAATCTCACATAATTATAATAAACTGGTTTTGCACACTATGTCGTACATGGAAATATTTTACATCAGCTGTTTAATTATATTTTGGAACAACAGAAATTTAATTTTATTTAACAATGCTGCGTGACAAGTATTGTTCCAAGTAGATTGTTGATACTAAATGGTCCAGTCTTATAGTGATCCTGTAAAGTAGCTACTTTCATTTACTTGGCAGGGCCATGCAATGTTGTTAAAGTCCCCACCATAACTCACCTAACAATTCTGGTGAAATTCAGGCAGTGTCCTTTGAAGTCCTGATCACTGTGCTGCCTCTCTGCACATAGCCACACCCACGGTCTTGGGGATTGACTATTGAATTATTAAACTTAAAGACCAAAGGCAGAAT